TTGTCGGGGTTTCTAATGGAGTGCGATTGGTTGGATTCCCTCGAAGTTTCAACGGATTCACTTGAAGTTGAAACGATATAGACGTGGTTGATGCACACCTATAATTAAATTATGTCCCTTTCAGTGTAATTCTGTCTGGGACTTTCACTAGGCGAATGCTGTGCTACACCAGAATAGTTCCGAGTACTGAATTTGATCTCGTGTACAAATGTTGACAGAGTTATGGCCTGTGCTGTCGCACACGGCACAGGATCCTATTTTGCAAATGCATGGGTTTGATCAGCAGCAACGCCTGATCCCACCGGTGGGCATGCCAAAAAAGCACCCTGATTAAGACATAGCAATTCAGGCAGATGACGAGTGAGTTTCCATGAGTATGCAGGTGTTTGTGTGTACCACGGCACTTGGTTGAGTATCTGATTAAACGCACATAGAATTGGTTGAACTATTTGCCAGTAGATATGTGTTGTGTGGGGTTTGGAACCAATCAGTACTAATTTAACAGTGGATAGAAATCTATAGTCACCAATCAATTCAGGTTCTGAAGGAATGTTGGACAACCTCTTTGCTGTATCATTTATGCAATAAACTTGACTTGGGCAATGATACCCTTGGGAATCTGACATCTTTTCACAGGAATACTGAAACTTCTCCTTCCCAGTTGCCTAAATTTACAATGCTGATACATAAACTAAGGGTTCGGCACCAAGATTATTGTGTTCAACTGCGTCCAAAAACTGCATGAAAGTAGAAAAATATCGTTACCGGCATCTAAAGGAATTGGCTAACAACGGTGTAAATTGACATCAAGGGTTAAGGTGTTCTGAGCAAGCTCATCGTTGTTTCAGGGTGTAAACCATTAGGTTTTAAAACAAAAACTATTGTCTTGTTATTCCATATACATATACTTCTCTCTCAGTGAGAAACAAAATAACCCCATGCGTTTTGTGCTGAATACGTTGTCAGACACTATTGTTGAGGTAATACTCATACTTGCGAGTAGTTCGCATATGCCAAGAAGTGATTATTGGATTCCCACGGGATTCGCGAGTGTATTAAAGGTTTGAGTTTTATAGCTTCATCTACTGTCTAGTGGTTTCATTGTTTATTTCGTTTGCTTGTGAGAATTATGATGACCTGTTACAAATGTGACGTTTTGTTTGGTGTACGCCACACCCTTACCTTGGTTAGATTCCAGTCCACAATGCGTCAATCTACCGATGGTTTTCATTATTCCTGCTTAAATGTTGAAATTAAGTGTAACCCCTCAAAAATAGATCCTCTAATGCACACTTGCCTAGTTATATCGATGTGGACCAATAGTACGTGTTATAGACTGAGTATTTACATTGACGGTCAGCGTCAATTTGGATTTCCTGGGTTGCCACCGGGTAACTAAACGATTCCGATTTATCAGCCTGATTTTCTGAACCAACTGCGAGTTTGTTCTGTTCGAGATGTTGTGTCTCAACAACCACCACATAAACTGGTGTCAAGTTGGATATTTTCAACTCCCTCTCCATCCTATCGCTTATTTCATTCTTTCATTCTGTCATATATGATAGTTCCATCACGACGTTCGTACAGCACACAACGAGCTGATTAAACTGGTCAGCACGAACAAGGAGTTGGCGAACGCAGTTGCACGGACGGAAGATCCAATGAGCTCTGATGCTCTGGCTCAAATTGAGAGCAGTATTCGCGGCCAGTTGGTACGTGCTTGTTTGTGATGACCTGTGGCCAATCCCTGTGTTCCCAAACATACAAAATCTTAGTATTTCTTTGTGCTTCAATCAGAGCTGCAAAATGTTTCATAGTGTGAAGTGATTCATGAAAGGTTGTAATCAGCTTCTTTCAAATAGTATCATCCCATGGCTGTTGACTACATCATGATACGTCACGTGTTTGACAGCAATGGATACCAGTAACCTTGTCACATTCGCTTGATCTGCTTCCTCTGTTTTGTCAGTTATAAAATGAGCTGTAATCAATCGGCCAGTCAGATATCAGTACTATGATCGCCTTATAGATATCAACCCCCCCCCCGCCCTCGGGCGATAGCATCTCAGGTGACTTTGGTTTTGACTTCACGAAATTAAAGTAGTATCCTGGCCCCTATAACTGAATAGGATGTCGTTTGAGTGATTTATCGGAGCATTGTGATCCCGTGGTTGCTTTTTCTAAAAGGTCATCAATATTTGAACAGTAGTACATATAAACGTTGCTGTGTTCCCCAGTCGTTGGGTGATAAACCCGTTGCTAGAGTCTCAATTGGTTTATCTCAAACTGTGTTTCATGTTTCTCCGGAGAAAAAAACCTCGAATTTTGCTTGCAAATTGATTTTCTCTGGGTTTGGTTCTGTATCAAACCAAATTCCCTGTCCATCTGTCTCCGCGTCGAAAATAACTAAATCGGATGACTAAGGCACTGATGATGATCAAGGTTTTATCTGTTCATTATTCATTGTTCGCTAGTTGCTACATGTATCCGAGTAGCACGGTGTACAGTTTGTTGAGAAATAAAATTAAAATATAAACAATTCACCAGTGATTAGCATCACATATGCATACGACCAAGGAAACTGTATGCACTCCTAAAACCAATCACCAACCTTTCCTCATCAGTTCGTTTCTAAATATTCTAAACATAAACCAACTGACAGAAAAAGATCAATAACAATTGTTTATGACGTTCTGTTTCTACTTGACGGTACCAGGGTTAGAAGAAACAACCTGCGGGCAGAAAGTAAGGCACCAATACGGCTTGGTTACTGCGTGACTGATTGACAGAGAATTGAAAGACTGTCTGAACGTTCCCATTCAGAATCAATCATCATTTGACCAACGCCATTAGTAACATGAGTTCACCTGCCAAACCTGTTCATCATAGTGACTGCGACGTATTGCTGAGACCTCACTCGGGACACAAACGTGCTCTTTATAACTGTGGGATAGGAGTGGCATTGCACTCGTGAATAACTGCACACAAATAGACCACTAAATATAAACCATCTATCAATCTCGCAGAAATATGAACAAATTGCATACTAAACGGGCATACATGGAACATTTGCTTCCAAATGATCACTCTCTTCGGATTGCACGTTTGTTTGCGCGTTTGTGGCTGCATCAGTTCAATATGGCCAGCATTCATTTTTACACCATAGGCTTACCCTGGAGACAAACGTGTGCAGATTGCGACTAAATGCGTTCAGTTTTTCTGAGGACGAACAGATTCACGCAATGCTACTCTCACGTTTTCAAATGTAAATTGCAAAATATCTGAACTTGTGTTATTTCCACATTGGCTTGTGTTGCACTTCCTAACAATCAGACTAAACTCGCCATCAATGATCCTGACAGAACGTGTGATAGATTGTTCGACTGTGGTCCAGCGGCACACTACCACGCCCGATCTATTCAGGTTCGCTACAGCAAATCCCAGGATGATCTTTCCTCTTTTCCTTCGCACAATATGACTATTGTAATTCTAAGTTACTCTTGCTTTCGCTTTCCAGCGCGGTAGCCCCACTCACTCACTACTGCTCGCTCATCTTCACCTACATTCGCGAACAGTAGCGCAACATTGATTCTGTACACCAAATAAGCCATTCTCCCATCGCCCTAGTTTTGACTGAAACATAAATCTCCGCAACCCAGGAGGGACACTAAGAACCCTCAAGTAGCCAACCAAACATTCCACTTCTTCTTTCTGACTGTAGCTGNCAAACATTCCACTTCTTCTTTCCGACTGTAGCTGGTGTCTGCATTCTTATACATCAATTGGTTGCCAACTTCAAAACACCAATGGTGAATACCAGCTTGTGTCGCTTCAACTTCCTTTGTTCAGTCACTACTTTTGTGTCTTATATCGTTCCCCTAATAGTGGCTACTAACCTGTCTTCGTCTGTTTTAACCAAAAGCCTTCAACCGAGTTCGGCACGAAGAAGATTTCGTTTGAAACTGATCGTTTTTGGGTGGATGCTGGTGGATGCTAGGTTTCCTCAGAACGCGTACGATCTCCGCCCAAGTAGATAGGGCTCTTTCGCAACCAATCCCTGTGAATCTTAGCGTTCCCCAAGATACGGT